CTTCAGAGATGAAGGTGCTTTGGAGATGCTCTGGTTTGGTTTTGAGCTGGCTCTGTTTGCAGGCAGAGCAGTTTGTGCTGCAGTGCCTCAGGTTGTGTTCAGTCCTGGCTGAATGCACTGCTCTGTTCTCCCCGCTCTGCAGGCAGGAGCGTTGCGTTCCGCGGGGAGCGGGGCAATGACGAGCCAGCCATCGAAATGATCAAGGTGTCTCATTTGAAGTAAGTGACCCAGCCTTGGGAGGTTTATAAATTTCACTGTGCTGCATGAAAATCCTCAGAAGGTCATAGACATTCCAAGAAAAAAAGCATTCCAGAGTGTATAGGAAAATATTCAACAGTATCAAGAGGAAAATGATTCAGAATGTTAATTCCAAGTGAAAAAGCTGTGATTGTTTCTGTGGTTGACTTTGTCACTTCAGGGTCCAATCACGTTGCAAAAGCAGCAATTAATATTTTATTTCTTACAGGTATTGTCTTTACTGAACATGCTTTTTGATAATATTAAGGAGAATAAGTGTTTTTTTCAACTTTGATTATGAGTTCATTCACTTTTCTATAACTTAAGCATTACTTAAAACTAGGAAATTTGGCATTAAAAATTATTCATATTTATTTAGCTTTTGTAAATATTCCACACCTTTGCAATAATTATCTGCTGGAAAACCAGGTGTGAGATATAGTTGTATGAAAAGTCAGCTGATAAATGACCAAATTGCATCCTTTCAAGTCTTCATTATTTTGAGCTCAGGCCTGTGACAGGAGGCCCTGATTTTCATTGTATCCAAAATAATAATTGTAGTACTCTGGAAAATTACTTCACTTTCTTGTATAAATGAAAATTAAAATAGTATTGATTTTAATAGGGCATGGTCTCTAGATCTTTAAAGCTTTTTCTTTACAGTGGAGGAAAAAAAATCATGTCTCTAGCTTGCACAGGAGTATTTTTGTGTGTAGGAGTTCCAGAGAATCTGGAAGAGTTCAGCCATATAATGTTCTTAATAATGCATTAAAAATTAAGAACAGCCTTGGGCTTAGATGAAGAGGCTGGAGAGTGTTGAGTGAGGCAAGAAATGAGGTTCACTTGCAGGGAGATGAATGCAGGGCCTGAGAGGACAAATTGCTGCCTGGCCTCTGTGTTTTCAAGTTAAATGTGAAAAGTGGTGGATTAAAGGTGTTTGCACTCACCCAGCTCCACAGATGAGCAGTCTGAAGGCATGGCTGAAAAGGGGTTTGGTGTGGGATGATTTTGTGCTCATTTATGCTGGGATTGGGAACTGGCATGCATCTGCAGGAGGGAAAAATCTCTGCCCAGCCTGCAGTCTTGTGTGTTTTTCTGGTATTTTGTGCCATCAACTCAGGCTGAAGATGGTGAGATCAGAGGTGCTGCTGCTCTCTCTGAGTTATTCCCCTTGTCTCCTCCACAGTGATTGTGCAGAGCCACCTGGCAGAAATTTATAATTCTGTTAGCTTTGAGGAGAACTCTGTTCAGACATTCTTTTGCTCCTCAGTAACTCGAGGGAATCACAAGCTTCAGAGGGGGATTTGATTTGCTCTGCTAGCTTGTAGTTTTTGAGGGTCTCCAGAGTGCTGCTGTGAACAACACATGTGAAGTAAAATGCTCAAATAAATGACTCTTGCTGGAGTAAATTCTCATTTGTTTCAGGCAATACCTAGCTGTGGTATTTAGAGACAAACCACTGGAGATCTGGGATGTCAGAACTTGCACTCTGCTCAGAGAGATGTCTAAAAACTTCCCTTCAGCCACTGCTCTGGTAAGGAATAAATTCTGTTACATTTTAATAAATGTAATACATTGAAATAGTGTAAAATCTTTGAACAATTTTGCAGAAAATGTTACTGTAGCTGTAGTATATACAGAGAAGTGCTTTAATATTTCATCTCCACCGAATGGAGGCAGGAAAAAAGGAGGTTCTGGTGCAGAAATCTGCTCTGTCCCTTAGGTGATGGAGGGAGGTACTGCAGAGAGCAATCTCCTTGGAAATCATTATAAAGCCCAGTACATTCAGGGAACAAACCTTTGTCTTTTGCATTTTTCCTGGGTTATTTTCCACAGGAGTGGTCACCTTCCCATAACTTAAAGAGCCTGAGGAAGAAGCAGCTGGCAGCCAGGGAGGCCATGGCCCGGCAGACAGTGGCACCAGACACTGAAGTCAGCAGTGTGGAGTCCTCTGTGATCAGGTACCCCCCTCCTGAGGGAGTCCTGGGCCACAGCAATTGTTGGTTTCCCACCATGTGCCATTCTTTTAATGAAAAGAATAGTTTGGAACTGATTCTTGAGTACACAGCAAGCAAAAGAACTTTATGGGCCTCCCTGTGGGACTTTGCTGTACCTGTTACTCTCAGGTGTGTCTGTGGCAGTCCATTGGTTACCTGGTTCTTCAAGTAAAACTCTTACTTGTCCTTTCCACAAGAGTGCAAGTAATAAATACTTAACTGTCACTTTAGTTTTTTAAGATTTTCTAAGCCTTCTGATGTTGACATTTTTGGAGTGAATTTTTTCACACACTTTCTGTAAATAACTCATTGTTTTACATTCCTTTATGGAGGAGGAGAGAGTTGATAGACTGTTGGTTTGACCAGTGACATTGCAGAGGTGTCAATGTCACCTTCCAATCCACTGTCACGTTTGTAAAACTATAAATATTGGAGTCAGAGAATAAAACTTCCCTTTTTTCCCTTCACCTTGAGTAGTGGTGTGCTTGTGTTTTCTCGTGTCCCTCAGCGACAGTTAACTGTTACATAAATTCTTTAAAAGGATATACATTTTTTATATAAATTCTTTAAAAGGATATACATTTTTTTTGTGTTGTTTCTATGCATTAGGTAGAATTTGTCTTGCAATTCTGATTTCAAGAAAGAAATAATTATGTCTCGTTGTGTTCTTTTGAAAGTTTGTTGCAGGAAGCTGAAAGTAAATCAGAGCTGAGCCAGAACATCTCTGCCAGGGAGCACTTTGTGTTTACAGGTGCTGATGGGCAGGTTTATCATCTCACAGTGGAGGGAAACTCAGTGAAAGACAGTGCAAGAATTCCTCCAGATGTGAGTTTTCTATCACTGATGCTTGAATTTTTTGCTTAGCTTTGATTGCTAGAAAAAATCAAGGATAAGCTTTGTAGCAGCAAGTCAGTAATGTAGTACTTTGAAATCTGAAATGAATTCCAACATAAAAACTGACAGCAGTTCTGTTTTCACAGTCTTATAAATAATTTTTCCTGTTTTAACTGAGTAGTTTGGTCTATCATGTTGTGTAATTTTTTTTAATGAATACTAATGTTGAAATATTTATTCATATGTTTGAGTCTATTAATCACAAGTTATTTTTCTGCTTCTTAAATATTTTCAGGGAAGTATGGGTAGCATTACTTGTATTGCCTGGAAAGGAGATATCCTGGTTCTTGGAGATGTTGATGGAAACTTAAACTTCTGGGATTTGAAAGCTAGAGTATCCAGGTATGAATGCAAATTAAGTCTGTCAAACATGAGATGATGAGTATTGCAATGTGGAATGTTCTCATCCTTCCTCATTTTTGTTCTTTACTGTAGGGAAAAATGCAAATATTTTGGAATAAAAATTCAGAAAATGTCTACTGTGTCACAGTTCCCTACATTTAATCTCTTGTGTTTTCAGAAGAATTAACATTTAATCAAGGTTTTAAAAGCAGCTAGATATCTTTTTTTACATTAAATCTACAATGGCTTCTGGTTAAACATTAAGTATTATTTATTCTGAGCATTTAATCATTTTAGTTTAATAAATTCATAATCTGGACATCCATTTGTGTGTGCATCTATAGAGGGATTGTTCTCCTCAGTCTGTGCAATACCAGGATCTGCAAAGTTCCTGGAAAGGATTTAATTTCCTGCAATATTGGGTGTACAATGATGGATCCTAATCTTGTCTTTGCTTAGGGGGATTCCTACTCACCGGAACTGGGTGAAAAAAATTCGGTTTGCCCCAGGGAAAGGAAACCAAAAACTCCTTGCCATGTACAATGATGGGGTAGAAATTTGGGATTCAAAAGAGGTAAGTGGCTGTGGGTTTGATGGACACTTCAAAGCCCACACCTCATTTCTGAAAATCAGGATGAGTGAGGGATTAAGTTTTACTGAGTCAGGATTTCTACTGGCAGTTGCATGATAAAGTCATATGGCTTCTTTAGAAGATTTTACTCCCTATAAATTATCTTTGAGCTGCCATCAATGAGAAGTGTCTTCCACTCTTACAGCTGACAATGTCTGAGATCCTCTTTGTCATCCTCTTGTGATGGTTTTGAGGCAGACCTTGAAAATCTAAGTATTTTTCAATACCTTGAAAATCTAAGAGGGACTCCCCAGTCTGAGACTTCAATCTGTGGACAGGAGGTTGCTTCCACTGCAGGTTTCTGTGTATGGTCAATAGGTTTAATTTGTTAGGGAATACCAGAAAGCCAGACACCTGTTCATTAACACTCTCTAATTTCTCTTCTTACTCAGAAACTCTATAGTTATGTTCACAAACCTTCTGGCGTTAACTTTTAGGTCTCTCAGGGCATTGTGGTACCATGGGGAAGGAAATATAATTGTACTGTTTGAACTTAGCCCCTGGAATAAGGTCAGGGTATCAGGGTATGAAAGAGGAATTTTAGTTTTTTTCCTGTTTCCTTTGTAATGAGCACCAACTCCAAACTCAGAGCCTTAGTTAGTGCAATATGAAACTCCACTGATGATAAAAATGAGCAGATTTGAACAACTACTGTGAATTATATAAGTTGAGTAGGGTATTATCCTCCTTGAAGCACATTTGAATAGTTTTGATGCCACAGGATAGTGTAACTGTTCCCTCTTTTTTCCTAGGATAAAGGAGTTTCCTACATGAAAGCATTTAAAATGAAATTCACATTTTCAGTCAAAAGTCTTTCAGAATATCTGTAGTAATATTTTATAGTCTCATTTCTATTATACATCTAATCCTGTCCTGTTAGAAAAGATAACAAAAAGGCATCTGTACACTTGTGGTGGTGTTCACAGGGGCCCCAGGACCAGGGAAGAGATGAGAATCTTGACTCCAGAAGGCTGATTTATTATTTTATGGTATATATTATATTAAAAAAAGATGATATATTAAAACTATACTAAAAGAATAGAAGAAAGGATTTCATCAGAAGGCTTGAAAGGAATAAAAGGAATGATAATAAAATCTTGTGATTGACCAGAGAGTCTGAGCCAGCTGACTGTGATTGGCCATTAATTAGAAACAACCACATGAGAGCAATCAAAAATGCACCTGTTGCATCCCACAGCAGCAGATAACCATTGTTTGCATTTTGTTCCTGAGGCCTCCCAGCTTCTCAGGAGAAAAATCCTAGCAAAAGGATTTTTCATAAAATGTGTCTGTGACATGCACTATGCTCAAAAGGATTTTTTCTCAGCCCTAAATTAAGAAATAGTATTGTTCCAGGGCAACCATGTGAGCTACTCCAAGGTTTCTAAATTCCCTACTCTCCAGAAAAGACCATTATTGAAATGATTTATGGCTAACTTCACTTTTGATGGTGAATTTTGTGCTGTGCCTGGGTGTGTGACACAGCCTCACAATGAGTGATGGAGAGGCTGCTAAAAACAAAAACCACCTGAATTTTGCAGGTACAAATGGTGAGCAGTTTAAGGAGCGGCAGAAACGTGAATTTCCGGATCCTGGACGTGGACTGGTGCACGTCAGACAAAGTGGTGCTGGCATCTGATGATGGATGCATCCGAGTGCTGGACTTGTCCATGAAGCCCTCGTGTTTCAGGATGGATGAGCAGGATTTAATAGGTATGTTGTGTCTTCCTTGCTGTCTTTTGTTTCTTTGTTGAGCAGGGGTTTGTCACATGTGGAGATCTTGGTGCCTTTCTGCTGCTTTTCATGGCTACAGGTCATTTTTTAATGCTTAGGTCATATGTGTGGAAACCCAGAGCANGTGCGCCTGAGCGCCGAGGAGTGCGCGGACGTGCTGCGCCGCTGGGTCGATCACCTCTGCTCCCCACACGTCAACCACAAATCCAAGGCCATTCTGGTGCTCTTGTCTCTTGGCTGCTTCACAAAAGTTGCAGAGATGTTACACAGGTAAAGGTGGAGCAGCACAGCCTGTGCTTTCTCTTGTCCACACCTATTTCTGATATCTGTTGCTGTTTTCTCATGTGTTGGACTAAGCCCTTCTCTGACCCAGAGATGGGGCAACTGAGAGCCATTTTACAAACTTTTATTCCATTTTCAGTCTCATGTGAAGGGTGAGATAATACAGATAATAGTTATAATTCACACCATCACAATCAGAAGCCAACTATTTCCTAATTACAATATATTAAAAGCATTTCTTGTTATATTTCTCTAAAGCATCTAATATTTTTTACAAAACCATCCTTTAAAACTTGTTCCTAGTTCCATTTCTCTCCCAACAATGTCTATCCCATTCCATAACATTTTTAGTCAGTATTTCTTACCTCAAAGTTTACATACAAATACATACTATGTGAACTTTCTGTCAAACTTTGAGAATTCTCTACAAATCCATTTCCCACAAGCATGTTTTTCTTTAATTAGTTTTAACCTGTGGGCTCTGACTGGCATTTCATTTTACTGCAGGCTTTCAGATTGCCAGCTCCCATGGACCCAGCAGCAATGATTTATAGTATCTATGATTTTTTCTGAGTAACTTCAGCCCTGATCTTTCAGGAAAATTTATAGCAAGTGTCAGTTCATGAGTGCACAGAGGAAGGGGAGATATAAAAGAGTTTTAGAAAGCCTCTCTGTGAATGTTTTGGTGCGATGTCCTGGAATACTTTTCTGGTTTGTATCCTAACAAATTATTCTCTTTTTTTTTTTTCCATTTTACAGTATGAGGTACTTTGACAGAGCAGCTTTATTTGTAGAAGCTTGTCTGAAGTATGGGGCATTTGAAGTTAATGATGATACAAATATCCTTTTTCTGAAATCCTGTCTTTGATTGCTAAATCTTCATATCTGACCTGGTGTTCTGGCAAGCTGAGAAGTTGCACAAACATTTGTGTTATATACTATAAATAATAATGCATGTGTAAATAATACCTATGGAGTCATCAGCCTGTAGATAAAAAATGCCACTAATAAGTCATGTAGATATGCTCAGGTCTGATTAATGAAAAAATCTTTGTGACATTAAGATTTATGTTGCAATTTATGCCATTGTATCATGGTAGGTATTTAAGCATATCTGAAATCTGTCTGGTTTAGTTTACAGCATTCTGCCTGTTGCTGTATAAATACTGATATGAGTTCAAAAGGAGAATTTAAAGCAACTTTTTTTTTCTTACTTGTGCTGAAAAATAATAGATTAGCACAATTGGTAGCAATGTTCAGCATTTTCACCTTGGGAGAGGTAAGGAGTAAGAAGGGGGGGAAAAAGGGATTCTGAAGTTTTTTTGTTTTGCTTTTAATTTGTGTTTTCCTTAATGCCTCATTTACATAAATTGATCCATGCTGTGTATGCAGATTATGCCAGAAGCTTGAAGCTCCTGGGCTTTAAGGAGGGAGCTGCTCTCTTTGCCTCAAAAGCAGGAGAAAGTGGGAAGGAGCTTCTGAGTGAACTCAAGCAGCCGAAGGAGGAGGTGACCCAGGAGTGAGGATTCTGTGGCTGAGAGGTTCTCTGGCAGACTGGGATCCCACTGGGTGAAAATTCACTTTTCTCTTGAATCACTGTCATAGCTGATCTGTGGGATTGGAGCAAATACTGTTAAATGTGTTGGAAGTCAGGATTAAGAACTGTGGTGTTGCTGTTTGTTAAATTTGTCTGCACTTTCACAAGAGGGGAAAGAAGCTTATGATAAAGTTATACAATAATATTTCCACTTTTTCAGTTGTAGCAGGAATCAAATTTAAAGATGTGCTGAAAGGCTTCCATACCTGTGTCAAAGTCTGGTCCATTTACTTCTAAAAATCAAATCTTAATAAAACTTCAATACTGTTGTATTTATATGTAAAAATGATTTAGTCTGTACTATAAAAATATAAATATATTTAAAAATAAATAGAGATCACAAAGCACACAGTTCTTTCCTGGAACATCATGGCTTTTCCACTCCAATTTCTTGTTTAAAATTACTGTTATTTTGAATCAATTCACTGTATTGTCATTTCCATAACTGCCTGGCATGGAATCTTTAACAGGTTCACTTACAAATGTTGCTCTCCTGACATTCCAGAAATCCATAAAACGTCACTTTTTCCAGTTAAGGGAGTGTTATATTCCATTATATTTTCAAGTGTGCACTCCCTGCACACCCTGGGCACTGAATTCTGCCTGTCAGAGGGTGGCAGAAGGTTTTACCTCCAGAGCAGCAGGGTCAGGGCACTGCTGGTGCTGTCCCCAGTCTCTGTTGAGTTACTGAATGTCTGATTAACAAAAGGTGGAAACAGCATTGTGCAAAGCCCAAACAATGGCTTTTTCATGAGATACTGCTCCTGCTAACATACCTGCTGGTCCACATGCACAAGGAGGCCACCAAAAACCTCTTTTCTGATTTTTGCCAGTATTTCAGTACTTGTTTGTGTTACTGTTTTTAATGTCAGATGTCTCTTTTCTGTGTATTTCTGATGAGGAATTTCACAGCTGAGGAGTGGCTGCTGATGCTACACTGCCCTTGCAAACTGAAGACTGTGGCATTAGGCTAAAAGCCTGAATTCTTCTTGTTCCCAGCTTGTTGGAGCTGCTGAAGTTGAGTTTGTTGTCCTGAAAAGAATCCTGTAAAATGTCTCTCATTTGAATGTAATTTTTGTGTTGTCTACTTGCAGTAACAGTGCATTGGATTCTCCTTTTGTTCAAGGATTTGTGGATATGTGTTCAGAACTCCCACCAGCCCTGGGACATCTCCAGCTCCAGAAAACTTTTGGTTCAAGTCTTAAATAACATTTCTGTTAAAATTGGACAGGGTAGATTGTTCAAGTCTTTCTGAATACAAACTGAAAAAGGGAGTTTCATTATTCTGAGCAGAAATGTAGGAGTTAAACTGCAATGTGTTGTATTTGTTCTTGCCACATCTTACATAAATTACCTTTTGTTCAGTGTATTGTGAACTGTGCTTATGTTGTTGCTTTAGCTTGGGAAAATGAGTATACAAGGAAATTTGCCTTAAGTATTATGCGAGCAACAGAATTAATGAAAATTAACTGTAATTAGCAGTGGTTTAAATTCTGGCTCACAGTGACTGCTACAGCTCTGCTCCATCTCCTGCTTTTGTAGCAGCCCTGGTGGACAAGATTCCCCCAGAGTTGTGAGCACACCCAAACTTGTTCTTTGACAGCCCTTGAAGCTGTCAAATTCAACTCAGTGGGTCTCTGAGATAAATCTACTTCAGTACACACTTGGATTTTTAACTCTGATGGTTAAAAAAACAAAAACAACAACATATTGCAAAGGCCTTTTAATACTGAATGTTTCTATAAACTTTTAAGTGTATAGGTTACTTTGTGGCATTCCCAACTGGAACCTTCCTGAGGAAAATAGAGTGTAATAGTGATTGAAAAGTTTATTTAGATAATATTGCAGTCTCATTACAATAATAAAAATATTTTTAAAATCTCTGTGTGTCTTGATTTAATACAAACCCATCATTGGAATTGAGTGCTGCTTGTGCAACTGTTGTCATTTTGCCTTCTGGACAGGAACAATGCTCAGGGCTGCTTTAATAGAGGAAGTGATTATCCTTTGTACATCTGAGTCACATTTTCCATATTAGTTCTAATGAAACATTGTGTTTGAGCAGAATTCATTCCCAGGCTTTAGCAGCAAACATAAAATCTGTATGGGTTAAATTAGAGCAGGACACGGTCTGCACATCCTGAGTTTTGCAAAGCACAGAAATAAGTGATGAAAGAAACCTCCTCCCTTTCTGTTCTCACAGCCTAGAAAGTGAACTGAATGAATTTTTAAAATAAATATGATTTTAACTCCTTTAAACCCCTTTGAGAATTCCTTCCTCAAAGCCCTGTGAATACTGCAAGTAGCCCCAGAGGTTTATAATTTATTTTCTCATTTTTGCATCTTGAATCTTCTGTCAGCAGTGAAGCCATAACTCTGGAGCCTGTGTTTGACCATCCTTGGCAATGAGGAAATGGTCAAATTGTGTTTGCAGGTCAATATACAGATTCTGTCTAATATACAGAGATTTTTTGTGCATTTGTCTTCAACACCAGCCTTGTATTAATTAACTGGGATGTTGGATTAGCAGACTATTCAGCAACTGCTGAAAGATTCCTTTGCAAAAGGCAGGACCTTTGGAAATAAGGAATTTTTTGGGCATTTAGGTTGTCTAGATGAGGAACTTCTAGTAGGAGAAAATCTTTCAGCACAACCAGTGCTGGTTCCCCCTCTCATTGTTTTATAGGAAGAATTTTGGCGTTCTATGATCAACAACAAAAAACCCAAAAAAAGCTCAAAACTGAGTCTGCAGGGATGCAAGAATTGTCTTCAGTTCAGTGAAGCATCTGAAATTTGTCCATCTCTGGGGCTCAGTCAGTCCCACAGGCATTTCTGTCCCCATCTGTGTGCTCACGTTCCACTTGTACAACCTGAGGGAAGCTCATGGTGAATGTTGTCATGGGACTCTCTTGGCACAGCTGGATTTTAAAAATGGGCTTATTTCTTTCCAGTTCCTGATGGGATCCTTCCAAAAAGTCCAAATTATTTCAGTTCTATGAGAATGGATTTATTTATTCTGTCAGTGAAAAGTCTAGAAAATGTTCTTTCAGCTTGGCTTCAGTAAAGGCAGGCCCTAATTAGAGATTTAATTGGATCATGATGTGCTTCACAATAAAGACAGCCTGCAAATTAAACATTGACCAACAGTGTCCAAAATTGCCTAACTTGGGTCAGTTTCTGAAGTACTTCTCAAAAAATTCAGTTTAATGGTGTGTGGGGGTGTTTATATACACACATATACATAGAACTGATTCAGAGGGAATAATTAGGGAAAATGGCAACACAAAAATACTTGATTGCAGTGTCAAAATTATTAGTACTATATTGCAAATTATTTATCATTTGCTTTCATTAAAATGCAGTCTGCCAGTTTAGAGACACTGCAGCCAGAGAGAGGCATTTATTATACATCAAGAAACCTGGCCCAGAGTGTTGATGTCGAGTGTCTGAGCAAATAATCTGAGATCATTTTTGGTGCAGCTGACTCTGGAGACAGAACATGAGGACAGTCACAGACTCTTCAATGGGAAATGGGTTTGGTTTGGATGATCACTTGCTGCCCAAAATTGTATTTTAAAACAGTTCAACTAAAAATGTAATTGCTGGGAAGAAGGAGAATAGTAATAGCTTACAAAATAGTAGGGTTTGGGGTTTTTTTATATTTATTTTTTTTTTTCTCAGAATAATTCATCACAACTTTGATGTTTATGTGAACCATTCATTAATGAGGTTAGGGTAAAAAAACTGATACCCACAGATCCAAGCAGTGACATAAAATCCTTTAATGAGTGTGGTGGTTTGACCAGGAAGAAGTGGGAATGCTGGCTGATACTGGCCCACTGATATTTTTGAGTTGGGAATTCTGATAGTAAATTGCTCAGTTTCTACTTAAACACTGAAGATAAGGAGGGGGAAAGATAAGAATGAGGGAAAATAAGGATGGGGAAGGAGTGTTTAAAAGGATTCTCTAGGAATGGGAGAATGGCAGAACCAAACCAGCAGGGGGATGCTGCTGAGGTGTTTGCAGACACTCAAGGCAAAAGCATTTTGCTTCAAAGTGGCAGCTTTAATACAGGAGTATTCACAGAGGGGCTCAGCAGAGCTGTGTTCTCACCTCTCCAAAGGCTGCAGTACTGAAAGATGGAATTGCAAAGTCAATATCTGTTCATTTCCCAAGCTGATTCAAATTCTCTTCCAACTCCACACCCCCTTAGCCTGAGTTAGGGCTGTGTTGTCACTGCTTTGTGGAGTTGGGATCTCAGTTACCTCACAGACAACGTGCATTTTGTCCACTCCTGGTGATTCCAGGGGAAAAGAAACACCCTAAAACCATAAAATGAATTTTTCAGAAGCAGATTGGTGGATTTGGACTCATTGAAGTTCTGTTCTGTGGAAGGACAGTACAAACTTTATTTGCAGATCTGAATCCTGCCTTCCCTAAGGATGGACAGAGCTTGGCAGAATGTGCAGTCAGAATTTTCTGTCCATGTACAAAGTGCTCTCCTTCCTCTCATATTTTAATCAGAAGACAACATCCAGCTCTTGAAATGTGCATAGTTTCTAACAAGTATTTATTATGCATGGTGAATCAAGCCCTCCTAACAAAGTGCCTCCTCAGCCCAGCTGAACAAATTAGGCTGTAATGAGTTGGGTGTGGAGCCACCAATTAAAAAGAGAAATACTGGAAAGGGTAAAATTTAACATCCAGGTGGAAATCATAGGTACACTTTGAGGGATTAGAGCTGGAACCTCATCCATCTGCTCTGGCAGAACAAAAGCAAAAAACATGCAAATGTAGCTGAANAAGAAAGATTGGCATTTACTCTGAGACTCAATGGAAGCAAACCAAATCTTTCACTGCTGTTTTGGAACTCGTAACTGGATAAAGAATCCTGCATGAATGGCTTACCCAAAGAATGTGAAAAATTGTTAACATGTACCAACTGTTAACCTGTGTTTTACCAACTGTTAACCTGTGTTTTTCTCCTACAAGTAGTGCTCTTCCATTTCAGATAATTCTGTCCTTTTTGTAACACAGAAAACCTCTATTTTTTTTTTTATTCCAGTGATTATCCAGAGAATGAAAATATTAAAAGCCTTCTTCAAGAGCAGTTGAATTCATTGTCCAAGTAAGATTTTTTCTATTATTACTTGTGTAAGCTATGGAATTCTGAGAAGGCAAAATATCTGAAGTTTGTGGCAATTCACAGTTAATGAAGAAAGAATTCTCTTCTCTAAAGATGTGCCTCAGTAATGACAGGTTTTATTTTAAAAAAAGGATTTTTAATGTAAATTCTATTTAATTTTTAACTTGGTGCTTTAAAGGTACTGATAGGGTCAGTACATGACTTGCCAGTGACCTGTGAGCATTTGGAATATTTTAAGCAGTACTTCTCATGGATTTAGGGGTTCTTTATGCTGATCCAGACTGCATTGAACACTGCCACTTAAATACTCCAAGGTTTGTTAGGATATTTGAGCTCTGAGGAGAAAAAGATGATTCCAGAAATCCTTTGCTGAAGATATAATTCCAGAGTTATGTTGATGCACGTTGCTCTATTTACAGAGAAAACAGATTTTGACATTCCACTTAAACCTTGAAAATTATAGTTAAATCTAATAAATAGACAACTTTGTCCATTTTCCTTTTGACCTTCCATGTAGTAGGATGGCAAAGGTAACAGCCTGTTTTTATCCAGTCTGAAACACCTGTGGAAAGCCTAAATTCATGCATGTGCATCCTTTCTGCTGTGACTCTACATAGCAGCAAGGTTATTTGTAGCTGAATTAATATTGTAATTAGTAGAATTACTGCAGACTAATTGGCAGCTTTGCATACACCCTGGTGGTGATTCCCTATATTGCAAGGATAAAGAGTTCCTGATGGACTCCCTGCATTTACCCCTGGAGATCAGCTATATTTCAATTTATATATAATTCCTGTTGCAGTTGTTTTAACAGATGCATTTTTTGATTTCACAAAAGAAATTTTGTATTTTGTGGGTTGATCTTTTCAGTTTGTATGTGATGGATCCAACCAAACAAAAAATCCTGCCCAGCATTTTACAGTTTAACACTTTCTCTTTTGCAGTGACATAAAGAAACTTCTGCTTGATCCAGATTTTACTCTCCTGCAGAGATGTCTCCTGGTTGCCAGGTAGAAGAGATTCAGATGAATACAGGAAATGTTTCCTAGGAAAATGTTGATGCTGTTAAAGCACAGGAATGAGCTGAGGTTTAGGAACTCTCCCAGTTGTCCTTAGCACAGTCCCTAAACTACTTTGTTACTCATTGAGTAGAGTGGGTTTAGGATCAAAATGGAAATTTTACCTCACTGAAACAGTTTTATTTGCTTCCTGGATAAAAGGAATTTCCCTCAGTCTTGGTGGCACTTTTATAACTGCAGCTCTGGCAGCCACATTACATTTAGTTGATCTTGCCCCAAAATGTCATTTAGAACTTCCCAATAGCTCTGTACAAACAGGACCTGGGGTTTATTTCAAGTGTTCTGTGTTCTGTGTGGTTCCTCTGCCTAAACTGAGCTAATTTCAGTCTGTCTGTGCTCAGAGATGGTTTTCAAACTCAGTAACTTGTGGTTGAAAGAGGATATCAGTGACTTAAGTGCAAAATCGTAATAAATATCAATTTCCACATATTTCTGTGCTGAACATTCCTGGAGTTTAATTGCTGTTGTAATGAATGCCATTCCATAATCTTCTCTGAGTTTGTCCCACTGATAAAGCAAAGTATTTGTGTTGCCCACAGGAGTGCACAGTCCTTGAGAAAATGAAATATATCATATTTTTATGTGGTGTATGACATCCTGCTTTGTATCTTCTCAGACTGTATGGGGATGAATCTGAGCTGCACTTCTGGACTATTGCTGCCCACTATTTGCACAGCTTCTGCCAGGAAAAGCCTGCCAAAGCAGACACAGCTGTCCTTCAGGAGCAGCTGGGTAATCCTCTGGATATATGCTACGATGTGCTCTGTGAAAATTCTTACTTCCAGGTATGCCAGAGAGTTCAAAACCAAATTTCAAGTTTTGTACTGTCATCAGTACAATAAACACTCAGTTCCCTGTGCATATTTCACTTTTATTAGTAACATACCAGTCTGGGTTAAAACATTCCTTGTACTTAAAAATAGAGGCTGGTCCAAAAACTGGCAAGATATGTAAATATCTTTTAAAAGCCTGGTTTTATTTCTTATGGTAGGTTTACACTTAAAATATTTTTCCTTCTTTGTCCAGAAATTCCAGCTGGAAAGAGTAAATCTCCAGGAAGTGAAGAGATCAACATATGATCATACCAGGAAATGTGCTGATCAACTTCTTCTCTTGGGCCAGGTTTGTGGGTAATATTTGAATTTTTTATTCTTCTTCCCTGTCTGTTTTGTGTACTTAGCCCATTTAAGGAAAGTTTTTTCTAACTTTATTTGTTATTTCTTATTTGTGTGAACCCAGTGCAGAATTTTTGCATTGTTATGTTAAATTCATGATGGATTTTCAATGCTGTTCTTATTGACAATGTCCTATTAAAGTAGAATCTTAGTCATTAATAGACAGGGGGACATTTTTGTAGCCTGTTTTAGAATAACTTCCATTTTATTTGTTCCATGTCTTAAAAAGGGTAAAAATAGAAAGGCTTTTAAACAAAATTAATATATTGTGGTCAAAGTTGCATTTTCTTCTCTTGCCAGACTGACAGAGCAGTGCAACTGCTGCTGGAAACCAGTTCAGAGAATGCACATTATTACTGTGATTCACTCAAAGCTTGCCTGGTCACAACTGTCACCTCATCAGGGCCATCTCAAAGCACCATTAAACTGGTAGCAACCAACATGATAGCCAATGGAAAGCTTGCAGGTAAAATATCTTTCTCTTTGCTTGTAAAGTGATAATTCTCATTATTTTTAAGGATGCCAGGGAAATAGGAGTGAATCCTGCTGTGGTGGATGTGCTGTAGTGGACACTACACAAAGTTAACACAAAAATGATCAGTAACTGAGTTATAAAATCCAGCTTGTCTTGATTTATTTTCACTGGAAAAGTCACTTCTGGAGTAAATCTTTTAGCAGTTGTTTGCATGAAAAGAAGCTGAGCACATAATATGTGTTTTCCACTTTTCTAATTAAAGGATTAACGAAAATTTGGTGTTCGTGTTACAAAATGTGAAATACTGATTTAGTCTTCTTTTCAATTCAGAACTTTTTTTCATAATATGTGTTTTCTTACAAGTACAGGTTTATTTTGCTTAATGCAAGAGCTGAAACATAACTATTTCAGTTATACCCATACAGCTGAAATACTCAAACATGCTGAGAAAGTTAAAAGTGTGTACTTGCCTGGAAAAGCTATTTTCCACTCTGTAGACTATTAATAATTGCACTGTGAACAACGTTAAATTAAAATAAAGAAGTACCTAGGAAATCTATTTATTTAATTAACAAAGATTATTATGTCTTTATGATAAGAGATCCTGTGAACCCCTAAATTTGTGTTCAGAAAAAAGATCAGTGAGAGCTTTGTGTGGCCTCTGTAGCCCAGAAGGAAGATGCAATAACTGGCACCCAGGTTATATGGAGAGCAGCCTCAACATCTTCCTGTGCTGAGGGTGTGGGGATCCTTTTCCCCACCCAGCAGCCCTTTTTCCCTGGATNAACTATTTGGAAGAAAAGGAAAAGTGTGGATCCCCAAAGGAAGGAAGCAGCCCATTTAAAATGCAGCCACAGAAGGTAAGTGGCAAGTTTATTTCAGTCTTGAAAATCTTAGAGCAGCCATTAGGTGACGCTAAGTTTATTTCTATGTTTTTCATTGAAACTGTTGGTCCCCCTTTCATAGGATAAACTTCCTGTTTTCTCCTCCTTCCCTGCAAGTGCAGCACCAAAGGAGGAATTTGGGTGCTGGGGAGGGAGCAGCTCATGGGCAGGGGAAGCCAAAGCTGCTGTCAGAGCCAGCTCTGCAGGTGGTGAAGGCAAGGCTGTGAAATCCTCCTCCAGTAAAACTTTCTTGGCCCAGCTTTAATGTTTTCTATCTGGAAATCAGATCCCCACGTTGAAAACGCCTTTTTTTGTCCGTGTCATTGTCACTGCTGCTTCATTTAGCAAAGAGTGGCTGCAGGTCAGGAGGTTCCCCTGGCAAACTCTGCCTCAGTGGCTGCTGTCCAGAGGTTTATTGAGTGATCGTGTTATCCACTGGGCAAAACAGATGCCAACAGGTGGTTTTTTTAAAAAATGCAGTTATTGCTTTTCACCCTGGTGTAGCAGGAGATAATAGAGTTATATTAGACTTGTCTGGCTTTTATTTCACTTGCTGTAAGTAATAAAAAGCTACAGGCAACAAATTTCAGTTGTAAAAAAAAGGTTATCTTTCTTTTTCTTTTTTTTTTTTTTTGTGTGTGTGATAATTTTTTAAAACTAGTTTCATATTTATGGCCCTACTGAGTAATATTTTTTCCCCTGCTTTTGGAATCCAACCACAGGCTCATGAATAATGGGATAATTTGTTGACCCTTTGGAAATGTTTTTTTCCAGTGTTGTTTGTGAACTTTTATACACACACCTCTTTTTACCATCTTGGTTTCTGTCTCTAGTAATTCTTTATATAAAAGATGGGTTCATTTGGTGTTTTATGTAATATGCAGGACGAGCTATTTCAGAAAGGTTTAAGCTTCTCCAGAGCTCTGTATCTCTTGTCTGGATTTACTGTGTAATTTTTGCGTGGTTTCAGCTCCAGCATTTGTTTGTGCTAGGAAAAACCAGCCAGGTTGCTGCTGCAGATGTCATTTCTTCAAGACCAGATTTTGGTCTTACCTTCCTGGCTCCTAAATGAACTTTTCCCTCAATGGTTTCATCACCAACAACTTTTCTTTTGAGGAGAAAATTGCCTTGGGAACAGGAGGACATTTATTAAAGCAATGGTTCTAATGTTTGAAAGGCAGCTGGGGATCTCTATGACAAAACCCAAAACAAAATTTAAAAAATGCTGACAAACACAAAAGAAACCCCTCGAAAAAAAAGAACCAAAACACCAAAAATCAACCAACTAAAAAAAAAACCCAGCCAACCAAAAAAACCAACACAAACCCCTTCCTCCCCTCAAACAAATATCTAACTCTTTTCTTTCCTGCCATGTTCTATTTCAATAATTTCTTGTATCCGGAATTTTAACTGGTACTACAGTAATGGCAATACTGGATCTCAGTCTCTGGTTGTTGGCATACAATCCCTCCCCAGAGCAGCTGAATGACTTGGAGTACTTGTTGGATCCTTTGGAGTGCTTGTTTGCTTGTTTCTTAATTGCTGACAGCACAAAAATTTCATTTCCACAATCTGAGGATTGATTTTCAATTTGTCAGCATTGATTTTTTTTGCTTTTTCTGTGTTGCACAACTAAATAGGAACTGGCACATGCAAAATGCTGTACAAACCCCATGCTTCCTACATTTGGGAAAAGAAGCCAGGCATAGCCATTTATCCAAGCTGGAAAAAAATTGAGCATTTTCTTTCTCCCTTCCCTCTAGAAAAATAGTTCTCAAATCCTTATCAAGCCAAGGAGCCTTTTCTTTCTGACTGTTTCTTCCAGTTCTGCTCTGTGGTTTACCTCAGCATCTGCTTTCTTTTTCCACTGGAGAGTTAAGCCTGGCTTTGATTAAAAGGCAGCTGAAAGGCAGATTAATGCAAGGGAAAGCAGCCTGGCTGATATGGAAAGAGAGCAGGGAGGGAATTTGTCAGACATCACCTGGATGTGATGTTTTCTGGTAGCAGCTCTTTCTCCCAGTAGGGCTAAGCCAGTGTGGAGGGAGTTTATTCTTATTTTATGCCACAACCATCTCATCAAAAAGCCAAAGCACATTCTTTGAACTGAACTGAAATCATCTGTTTATCCTTTCTGACTGCTTTGCAGGCAAATTCCTTGGCCACAGGATTATTTGCAAAGCACATTTTTTCTCTTTCCCATTCCTCCACATTTTCATGTTTGATGAACTTTTGAAATGTTTGCGTTTCTGTGAAACTCCTGCGCTTTCAGATAACGTCTTAAATAATTCAGGGACATAATTCCCAGGAAGGATGAGGGAGCTGGGAAGGAGCTCAGCTGGAGAAAAGGGGGATCCGGGGGGACCTTGTGGCTCTGCACAGGAGGGGACAGACAGACAGACAGACAGGCTCTGCTCCAGGGAACAGGGACAGGAGGAGAGGGAACAGCCCCAGGTTACACCAGGGGATGTTCAGGTTGGATATTAGGAAAGATTTCCTCTCTGAAGGAGTGGTTAAGCACTGGAGCAGGCTCCTCAGTGAAGTGGTGGAATCACCATCCCTGAAAGTGCTCAAAAACCAAGTGGATGTGGCACCTGGGGACAATCTGGATGACTGAGCATGGTGGTATTAACTCAAAAGTGGTCTTGTTAATCTTGGATGTCTTTTCCAACTCATTATTTAATTTATTACCATTTTTCCTATTATTTTATTACAATTATTATCATTATTACCATTATCATTATTATAATTTTAACATTATTATAATTATCATCATTTTGCCCCTTGCTGTGCTCAATACGCTGCTACGACCACTTTTCCTTTTCAGCTGAAATTTTCCCTACTCCTAAAACTCCTGCCCCATCCCCTCGGAGTTTAAGCACTTCACCACAGCAACTTTAACACAGAATTATTTCCCTGAAATCCTGGGAGTTCGCAGCTGCTGCAGGAGAGGGCAGCAGAGATCAGCGAATGGAGAGGGTTGGAACAGCCTCAGCCGGAGGGACCGGGGTTTTCTTTCCTATTTTCAGTCCTGGAGGATTGGCAGCTCCCAGGCACCACCGAGCAGGAATGATCTCAGATATGGATTTGAGCATCAGCTATAAATAACTACAGGGAAGGAAAGAAGGGCATTGAGTGTGTCCAATTTTTCTATAAAAGCAGGAGCTCAGGTTATCATTAAACACAAAGTCACACCTCGCTTGAAATCTGCTCTGATTTGGCAAAAAGGAAATGCTTGGCAATGCATTAATAGGTGTGATTTAAAGCTTTATGTTGCACCTAATGCTGGAAAGGTGGGGTTTGCTTCAGAACTTGCTTGTGGTCAAGTCTGTTTCAGTTTATTTTTGTGCTGATGATGCCTCAGGTTTGGCTTTTCTATTTTTCACATTCTGTGCTGCTTTAGTGTGTGGGGCTGGGTTCACATCAGGGGATGCTGAGCTCTGTGCACAGAGCAGGGAGACAAAACAATTCCTGCTCCAGCTGGGCACCAAGGACAAATGACCCAAATCTCAGCCCCAGAGCACAAACCCCGTGGGCTGGAGAGAGAAAAACAAGCAGGGTGGGACTGCCTGGGCTAAAGCTGGAATGGGACAATGAACTGCAAGGTGCAAATGGAGCAGAACTGATCCAAGAGAAACCCCCCCTTTTGGGCTCCAAGAGTCACTGTCATCTTTGGGGAAGTGCCAAAATGAGCAGGACTGCAGCAAGGGACAGAGAAAACCTTAATTTTGTGCATCTCAGAAAAGTCGGTAATTGGGAAGAGCAGAGGAACACCAGCAGGAGATTTTTAGATTGCAGCACTTCGTGCACCATGAGTTAGGAACTGTGTGATTCCAGTTTTAACCACCTCGTATTGCTGACGTTTGTCCCAAATCCATTTCAAGGTCCAGTTTGTTGCTGCTAATTTTCTTTTTAACCCACTGGTTTCTTACTTATAGGAGGAATTTCCTTTCTGCTGGCAAACCTTCCCCATCCTTTTCCTCTTCCAGTCTCTGGTGGATGAAAACATGTTTTCACAGAGGAATGACTGAACAGTGCAAGGCTCAGCTCCCTCCTGAATCTTCCCTCCTTTTCACATCTCTGCAGGATTTCATCCTTGCCAGCTCCTCTCTCAGTTCCAGGCTGCTTACGTGAGCTTTTGAAGACAGCTCTCCTGTCAGTGTCAGAGGCTTTTATGGCAGTAATTATCTCAGGATGAATACTTTGTTGGGATTAAAGGTTTCAATTCATGCCCTTTCGGGTTTTATTTGGTTTCGTTGAGTTTTTCTTACAGTTTCTGTGCACTGCTGTTTAATTTCATCTTCCAAACTTTTAATTATTTAAAGTTTTGCCCTTTTCCCTTTGACTAACATGTTACAGGTTCCCTGTGGGAGTCCGGCTCAGGATTCAGTAATAAAACCAAGTGAAGAGTTAATTGCCTGGGCTCTGTCCCATCCTATTGTCTGCCCTCTGACTTAACAGCTGAAATCCCTAAAATGACAGAGCTGGTGGGAGCAGTGGCATTCACATGAGGTGAATAATCTCCAAGAGAGCTTTTCAAATTCACTGGGAGGCACCTTCAGGATGTAACTGAGCAGGGC